TCTAGAGTTCTATAGCAGCCTAGAGAAGTATAAACATAAAGTAATATAACTTCTTATACTTTTTATACTTCTAAAGGTAGAGGTTATAGTATATTAGTTAAGACTATAGGTCTAGCCTAAATAAGTCGCCTTAAGTAGTAATCTTAGAGTTAGTAGTCTAATAAGTGTAATAGAAAGAGGTAAAATCTAGCGTAGTAGATTTAGTAACTATAGCTAAGTTATTCTTATAGAGATGCGCGTATTTATTAAGACTTATAATAAGACTAAATGCCTTAGCCTACTCTAAGTAGTTCTTAGAGCTAGATAGTTTAGTAAAGTTCTTACCTAAGGTAGTAGTAGTGTTAATAAGCGTACTTATAATAATATAGTGTATTAAGAGTAGACAAAAGTATAGAGTATAGAGTAGGTATTTCTTAGATAAAGTATAGTATAGTTAGGTAACTATAACTATAGTTAGTCGCGTAATGTAAAGCGCAAGTATAGTAATCTAGTAAGCTAGATTGCGCGCAGTTGCGTAGAGGCTTATAACTTATAGAATAGAGAGAAGTATAGAATATATTAATTATTTTATATATAAAGGAGTGTGCCTCTGTTTATATAGAGAGAAGAAAGCGCTAGTAAGTACGCTAGTAAGTAAATCACGTGAGAGGATGCCTAACCAACACAAATCTGGTGGCATCGCCCTCAAGATCTCCCCCATCGAAGGCGGAATCTCCAAGCCCAACGTCAGCCAGACCATCTTCGCCTACAATCTCGACGTCAACCAGGTCTGGTACGATATGAGCGACATCTTCGGTGACGGGTTTGCCGGAAAGTCCTTGACACTCAAGCCAACGGATGCTACCTGCGAAAGCATTGTATGGGCTTCAGGCGAGCCACCCGCGGGTAGTCAGATTAAGGTCTGTGGGGCTGAGACGGACTTGGAGCTGACATTCTGCACGCCTCCGCCGCCGTCGCAGTGCTTGCCCGCTTGGTCTCCTTGCGGGACGAGTGCGCCTCCGGGTGAGACGAGGCTGTGCTGCACGCATTGCATTGGCAATCATCACTGTGTACAGGCTCCAGGTTCTTAAGTGAATGTGGTTCAATGGCGAAGCGGACAAGAGTGGTATAAAAGCTGGGCATTCGTTCTTTACTGAGGAGAAGGGACTATCGAGGTAATGTTTTTATCGATACGTAGTTTTGCTGTTTAACACGTCGCTCATTCAGACTTTGATAGATGCAATACACTATCTAGAACAAATGTTTTGCTAATGCTTCCCCAGGGCCTTCTGCTATACTGATTTTTGACGTTAATATTCGTTGGACTCAGTCCTGTTTCTGGGGCAGTAACCCACTGAAGCTCTTCGCCTAAGACAGTCCCAGTACTCATTCGAAGATCTCACAGATCTCGCCATCAGCTAGAGTGACAATCGGGATTCCCGCCCTCTTCGCCATCTTCGGAAAGTTCGCCACTATGTGATCAGGCGGGGCCAAATCGCCGCGCCAATGCACCTCTAGGCGTCGTAAATCTTCCAGAGGCGCGAATTTGCCCTTGAGATAATCATCTAGTGAGACCAGCGTATCATGATCCGCTTGATGAATCGCGAGGGTATCCACACCCGCCAGGATAGGGTAATGGTTCAGGGTTGGACCAGACTCGACTTCGAGGATCCGCAGATTGGGGATACTCTTCATGAGGGCTAGCAGGTTCTGTGCAAACCTTCCTCCGCCCCACAAGAGTCCGCTTGTGACTATGACTTTGAGAGTATTGACGTTAACCCAGCAGCCTTTGTGCACTGTTGGAAATGCTGTACCTCTATCGTACTCGAGAGTGAGGTTGGTGAGAGTAGAAAAAGGAATCGCGCTGAGACCTTCAAACCCAGTGGAAAGTGTGAGTGACGATATCCTGGCGGGCGACAAACCCTGTTTCAAAGGTGTGAGGTCGAACGCTAAAACCCAGAAGCGATCTTTGGGATTTTGAGATTCTACAAAACAACGTCTTGTATACAGTTCCACGGTCTGGAGTTTGGGAAGTGCCGCAAGAATGAGGCCGCACACTGCGGCCTCTGAAGGAGATCTGAAGTTCTTCATGAATGACTCCTTCTCCTCCACCGATAGCTGGAGTACCTCAGCAATGTTACCCAGATTCTTCTCACAGCTACCACAATTGCAGAGCCGGTCTTTCTCGTAGTCGTATGGAATCCTAGCTGGCGACTCGTGCCAGAACCAAACAGCCAGGCTGCGCACACGGACGCCAAGCTCTGGCCGATGGGTTATCGTACGTAGAAAGGGCGCCAAGAAAGAAGGGGCCCTCGTCTTCAGCAGCTGCGAGCGGTATGGCTGAGGTAGGAAAACGTCGCGATACAAAATGGCTTGGGCTAATGGGAGCAGCCGCTTGCATGTCAGACTCGTAAAAAGTATACTCTGGACTTCTGCCCCATGCATCCAACGCGCCCGCTCGGTTTCTTGTGCTACTTCTCGGACTGGCATGTATCTGCTCACATACGGGCGATCGCCAAACCCTTGTTCTAGGAGCAGACGCTTGGTAGGCGCAAGGTACTCTACTATTCGCAACAGCAGCTCGTTAGGTAAACGCAGAAGACGGCTGTCAACTGGTTTTCGCGTCGGTGATGAGGACGGATCGATGCGCAGGTAATCAAAACACTGAGCCATGGAGTCGTCGGAGTCATCGGAGTCGCACCAATCCCTCCGCGCGGGTGCCATTTGATCGTAGTGGTGGAGGATGGAAGTAGAAATGTATGTTCAGGTCTGACTGTGGGGATCGTGATCAGCTCGCACAGAAGTTGGTATTTCCAAGCGCTTTCTCTACTTGACAAGCGCACCAATGGGTGTGCGATTCTTTCCTCCGTTGCTCGTGACAAACCAATGTGTGTGTGTGTCCTCAAATCAGGCAGAAACAGAGCTGTGAACTCGGCCCCGCGGGACATTAGGCCTCAAGGGCCGCAATTTGGGGCAAGCTATACCGGATTCGGCATAGACAAAGATAGGGGAAGGGCCAGCATTACGCGACATCTCTGTTCCACTTCGCAGCTATTGCGCGCAACCATATTGCCATGGCAGGTGGTAGCTCTATCCAGATCGGATGACTTTGCGCGAGCTCTTTACATGCGAGCAAGACTGCTTGTTCCAAGGTTCCCTACTGCAACTTTGCCGTACTATACAAACACTAAGGCCCTGACGATTGACAAAAGTACCTAGGTAGCTACATATTTACCGCACATCATCCTTCACCCTGTACACGTATCCTCTAACACGCTAGATCATAACCGCATCTCCATCAGCGTCCCACTCAACTTCCACCCTATCCATCGGATCCTGATGCACACCAAAAGGTCCCATCGCTTTCTTCCAGCACACGTACTCCGCGCGATGTAGCACATCTGGCTCGGCCTTCAATTGCCACGGCGTACCACCCTTCGACTCCCACGTCGACATAGTCCACGGCGGGAAGTAGAGATACACCGCAATCTCGGCGTCGCGACATATCTTGCGTACATCGTCGATTGGATCTAGACAGTTGTCCAGTTCGGCGCTGAATCTGGTGTTGTCTAAATGTTCCATATGATAGGCTTCCATGCGCGTGAGGTTGGGTAGGTGGAGCTTTTTCTTAGCGAGACAGAGCGTATTTAGGAAATTGGCTGTGATGTGCGTCGCCTCGCTGATGCGCAGGACTTCCAGCGTCTTTGGGAAGATCTCCGCGGGATCCGTGATTGGCAGTCCTTGTCGTATGATTCCATGGCCTTGTATCGCCTTCATAGTCAGACCGACTTCCCTCAGGCTCTCGAAGCGGCGGAGGTCGAAGACTGTGGTCACGCTGTGGGAGTATCTTATCGCTGTCATGTCGCTCGGTATCTCAAGGACTGTCAGATGAGGTAACTTGGCTGTCAGCGCTCCAAGCAAGAACTTGTGCTTCCACTCGTATGGTAGTGTATAACTCGCGCGAGCAGATGCAGACCGCGCACTGGCGAAGAGAGGGAAGTCCATGAGCCATGTGTCGCCGAGTTTTAGCTCGCGTAGGTTGGGTAGTGCACAGATGAGGACGCCAAATAGCGCGGGGACGATGTCATCTTTGATAGCTTCTAGCCAGTCCTTTGCATGTCGCTTGTTGGTAGCGAAGTGATTGATCATGACCCCACATGCTTCCAGGAACTCAGCGTCCTGCTTTATGTAATCCGGAGCAGGTAGCGCATTATATTTGGGTTGGGTGAGATACACTTGTACCCCAGTACGGGTAGTATGTTGGGTTCTGGTTGTCCTGCCTTCACTCTTACTCCAAATCTCCAAGCTCTTGACCTGGCCGAGCAGATGCGACCGGTAGCCCAGTTCCGACATGTACCGATCGATGAATGCGAGATTGAACCTTGGTTCTTTGAGTAGCCATTCTTGCGCCACAGGCCTCCATCTTTTGGATACGAGCGCAAGACTTGCAAGATCCCGGTTGCGACTCAAACTCGTGAACTGTGCGCCGATGTTGAGAAGTAATTCTTCCGGAAGATCGCCGATAGTCTTAGGTGTGCGAGGTGAATGTGAGAACGCGGAAGGTCGGAACATGATGGGCAAGCTAGAGAAATTCGGGCTGGAGCAAGGGTCGCGCGGGCGGTGATATGGTGGGGTAGGCGCGAGGCTGAGATGTCTAATTAGGCAGCGGTGATGAGTGGTTGACTCGCGCCCAGGCAGCGATAGGGTATCATCGACGGATAACAAGCTGCCAGAATATACGAATGAGCTTTGCGCTACCGTAAGGATTGGGTCACGTCGAGTGCGGGGTGACCAGATTTTGGAAGTTTGGAAGAAGCGCACGGTTGTGTCACGTGTTTGCGTCTTTCACGTCCGATCTTTGCAGCGAGCAGATGCAGCTGATAACTTCGGCCCATCTCATGCCCACTGCTCTTCCCAGACTACTACGAATACTATCTAGAATCTTTCACAGATCGATAATCCACCCTGAACATATTGAGAGACAGGCCGGCTCAGAAACCTAGCCCATGTTCATCTAATCATTAGATACCACCCAAACCTTCTGAACAGTTCCTGTAGCATAACCTCCTCTTCGGTTGCAGCAGTATCTTCCAGGCAACGCTAGCCCACAGTGTCTCACTGAACTCGGCGGCCATGGGGATACTTACAGATTCTAAATGCAGACGTTCTATGTCCTCGTCCAAGCCCTGCGCCTTATCGGTAATGTATGATGCAGGCTCGTTGAATTCAGCTTTCTTGGACCGCTTTGTCTGCTCTTCTTTCGCACACGGTTTCTTGATCGAGTCTCTGTACTGATCTGGAGACTGTGCGTTCGTACTCTCCGTGGTGACAAAGCTCGCACCAAAGAATAGAGTCTCTTTAGCGAGAGGCGCAAGTTTCTGCTCGAAGCGGAGAGTGAACTGGAAACTGTCCAGATCTGCCGTGCGCGTTAGTCTTATGTCAGTATCGCACCAATACCAAACTCACTCAGTAATGGCGAAAGCCGTCGCCTGAACGCACGCTTCCCCAGAGCCCTGTCAGCCCATCCACTAGAGTCGATTGTCGCTTGCTTCTTGTTTGGTTCTTGAAGCTGCGGATCCCACTTGCTGCTCCTGATACCATGAAAGAATGCACTCTGTATCCACAACCTCAAATCAAATGTGGGGCTGTTCAGGAGTTGCGAGTGGTGGTCAGCGTGACGTAAGAACACCCTGACGCCAAAGGCCGGTTGGGGTTGTCTGCTTGCTTCTGGAGCCCACTCGGAGAATGGCGCTGATGACCCTGAACAGCGCCACATTTCCAGAGGCCGTAAACGATAAAAAGCCTCGAGTTCTTGGCGCATGTCGCCGGTTACCTCTTGGGACCCACTATGGAAGGTCACTTTGATGCCTTTGCGACCGAGGCTTGTAAGTAGGTCAAGGTAATCCAGCCGACCCAGATCGAAAGCGTTGCACAGTATGATGAGTTGTTTACACGGCGTGTTGAAATATAGCTCAACGTGCTTGAGTCTCAGGTCGCCCACAGGGATTTCGTTTATTCTTTGCAAAAGAGCAAACGTCCATTTATTACACGAGCGCAAGTGAAGGCGTTGGATAGTGAGTGGTATGACTTTGGAACGTGCCTCTTCTAAAGTCTTTTTAGCCGGGAGCGCATCATTGACACGTGCTGCAAAAGGTTTGGCCGCAAGAGAGAAGACTACGTCGTCGGGGCGCCCAAGAATGCCCATGGGTATGTCAAGCCGCTTCAATCTTGCGAAATCCGCCAGTGTGATTATGTGTGCTCCCATACTCCTCCATTTGGCATCATGCGACTCAAGAACCTCGATGGTGGGCGGCCCTTTCCATCTGGTGTTCTCCGCGATTGTGAGAGATTCGAGCTTGGCCTGGAACAGTGGTAACGCTGGTCCTTGGAATGGAGCACCGGGTAGCATCTCAAGATTCAGCGCTGGAAAGACTAGAGGTGCCCGCTGAAGCGAACGTGGCGGTTGGCTGGAGAAAAAGGGCCTCACTTCCGGTAGCTGAACAGCCACCGATTTGATGTTGGGACACGATATCGCGAGAAGATTAAGGTAAAGCGCTGGCTCCTTCCTCCATATGGTGCCGACTGAGGCGTTGCTTTCCCAAACCCGGCTCCAGTCCGGGGTATGTCCAGTAGTCGTAGAGATGGCTGCGCCAAGACCTTCCAGTATGTCCAGGTCGAGACTGTTTCCATTCGCGCAGAAACAGCCTACGTGGTGACTGCACCCGAAATCCCCAAGATTGATACTGAGTACCTTGCTAAGGAGTTCCGGCTGATAGCCAAGCATTCGCAAGAAGCCTTTGATGTTCCTCCCCGACACGATCAGCTCTCGCAGGATGGTTTTTTGAACAATTTCTCCAAGACGTTTGTTGACCAGTCCAAAATTGAAGATGTGCGTAGTGCCGAGCATGTTGGAAGCTACCATTTCAAGGAGTTCGGATGGGAGGCGCAGCATTCCGTTGTTTTGGACAAGGTGGGTGTCGACTTCGTCCGACAGCGCAGACGCATCGTGCTGGCCGACATCTTGGGAGTCTTCGGGACTGAATTCTGGTATCGCAGCTTCCCGTGAGAGAGGTGGTGTCTTGACTCCGTTTGCGGGACTCGCTACGCGTCGCTTCCTGGGACTAGAGCTGAGTGGCGTCATCGGCGCCATCGCGGTATTGAGAGGGTGAGATGTGGTTTGGGTGGTTGAGTTGAATCGCAGATTATCGCGCTGGTATACTGATATTCTGGCAAATATCCATGGGTGCATGTGAGTACTGTGGGTCAGTCACAAGGGCGGCTACCGCGGTACCTGCATATGGTCAGTTATCGGGTGACGTAATCGAGTGAATGTAGTGGGGTATTACTTGAAAACCCTCCCTAGACTGTGAAAGAAAGTCTTCGCTTCGTAGCTTAAAGGCAAAGAACGTGTATTGCGCAACATGTGTACCGTGGCTGCTCGTTGACTGAGGTGCAAGGAGGGTGTGACACGTCCGCGCCAAGCCGCTAGTATACAAGCAGGTGACTCGTTCCAATGCTCTTTCCATTGACGCGCATGCCCTACCAAGATAAGGAACGATAGCTACGCGCACGCGTGGGTATAAAGATGTTCATTTCGTGTTGCTTCAAACCTTGCTCGATATTGCAGTATCGCGTCGCATCCCGGTGCGTCATGTCACCTCCACCCTAAAAGACGGCACTCACATGCCCAAGACCGACAGCGGCGACGGGATGTACTCTTCCCAAAACACATTCATCCATCAAATTACCGACTTTATACTACCTACGTCTCCTTAGTTGTAACCCTAAGGAACTGCGGCTCCTTGGGCTTATGCGCCGAATGCCCATTGCGGTCAACCAAAGGGGCGACAGCAAGCACATTGCCACTCTCATCTTCAAGTTTGAAGTCAAAAGTAGCAATAAAGTACGCCGTGATGATGTTCTGCTCGAGTTTCGCAAAGCGCATGCCCAAACACGGATGCCGTCCTGACCCCCAGCCAAGGAAGCCATGTGCTGCCTTCTTCTTGTCCTCCGCACGATCTGGCATGTATCGAGCCGGGTCCCACTTCTGTGGATCTGGATAGATCTCTGGATCGTAGTGTATGTCGCCCGGGGCGTATGTGACGAATGCGCCGGGTGGTATGACTTCGTCGCCGTTACCCGTGGGTATGTTCTTGCCGCTGATGTTCCGCCTGAAGGCCGTGCCGAGCAGGTTCAGACGTAGGGAGTCTCGCAGGCACATGTCGATGACTGGAAACTCGCCCTCCCATGCCTCTATAGGTACGTCGTCGAGCTGCTGGTGCAAGGGTGCGGTCGGGTTCTTAGCGTACCTCGCCGCATTACTGCGGACTTCGTCGTTCGCTTTGGCGAGCCACTCGGGTGAGGTGGCGAGATAGGACATTACCTAGTTGACATTAGCTCATATTCTGTCGGTGCAAGGTATAAGGAGGCTTGGATTTACTTACCCAGGCTACATTTATACCGCTGTTGAGTAGACCGGCGAACAACGCTCCAACGACGAATTGAGCGACTCTCTCGGCGCGATCACCCTGATCCAGCAAGTACTGCAGCGCATCATCGTGCTTCTCGTCGCTTGACGCACGCTTCTTGATGATTTTGTCGATCATCATATACAGTTGCGCTCCTGCCCAGTTCCGTTTCAAGAGAGCCGGTAAAGGGAGCTTCGGAAACAAGACTGACGTAGCGGTAGAGCTGCTTTCAATCGTCTCAAACATCTTTAGAACCCCCTCCAGCATCTGAGGGTCTTCGGCAATCTCAGTAGCGCCTACCATGCGGATGGTGAGACGGAAGACGATCCGGTACAGGCTCTCAAAGGGATTGGTGCGGCCACTGGGCTCATTCTTGATGGCTTCGAGAGCTTGCTTTGTGTCGGATATCAAGATAGGCAGCTTGCGACGGAATTGGTCGTTCTTCAAGAAGAAATTAAGACGGCGATGGAACATGGCGCTGAAGCTGAGATTGTTATCCTCGGCGGTGATGGTCCTGGAAACTTTGGGCGAGTTACCGAACAACACAGCATATCCTTCGGTGAAGCCCAGATCTTTCGACTCGAAGAACAGCTGGCGCCCTTTGTCTCCTGAAAGCGCAACAACCATGTTCGGTCCAGCATGGAAAGAGAAGGTTCCCGTCTTGGACTGGTCGCGTCGCTCGCTCCACCATTCCCATCTTCGGGTCCAGAAACCAAGAGCTCCGACGACTGGAAGATCGTCTTTGACTTGAGGTGGCGCATTCTTAGGGACGCGATGCGAGTAGGATAGTGCGCCAATAACGCATGCTGTCAAGGCTAGCCCGACTATTGCGAAGAAGAGGGGGTTGATATCTGAAAACCGCTGGAGGACATCAACTACCGCCATCTTGCTGGAGAAATACGACTGGTGACTGCAGTGAGTAGCGCAGGGGGTTGTGGCCTTCTTGGGTTTCGCCGCGCTGAGAAGGGGTTGAGGGCAACCCTGATATAGATAATGAATGTAGTCGCAAAACGAGCGCGCCATAGCTCTTATGTGGAGCCTGCATTCCAGAAAGGTACTGCTGCAGGATTGGCGACGCCTGGCGCATCATGGATCATAGCTCATCGGTGCTGCGGCAAGCGTGGTAGTGACGCTGCGCATGGCGATATCAAGCAAGTGTTAGAGTGAAACAGCAACAGGGCTACGAATTGGCCGATATACTCAGTGGCGACAAAATCAGCATGCTCGCTCGTATTAGTACGGGCGTTTGTCTGGAAAGATGCACATGTGTGATTGCTTGCCGCTGCTCCATACATTCCCCGGCCCGTCCTGCAGTCGTAATCCTCGGCATCGCAGCCACAATTCATACAACCATCGGCCATCGGTTCGGCACTCGGGTTCCGACTGTGAGTGTCTAAACGAGACATACCAAGCACACGGCCACCGGATAGTATGCCTCGTCTGCAATGGCTTGCATAGACGAGAGCCCGAGAGGGTGGATCCGATAGTCACCACAGCACCTTCCTTTTTGATCGTGGCACTGAGGAAGCTGCAGCTGAGTGGGATCCATGGTCTTTTCCTGTATCTTCTCGAGAAGAGTGAGGGCTCCAGGGCCCTCGCTCGCTAAGGAAGCGAGCCATCGGATTAAAGTCGGCATGGGAATGCTGTTTGCACCCGTTTGCCATGGTATGAACAGGTGTGAGCTCGCGCACAACCTCGTTGTATCCTCCCCTCCCTCTCCCCAGTCTAGTGCGGCTGTCACTGCCCATAGCATCGACGGGCACAGCGCGAACAGAAATGTTCATGTCCGTGTCCATGCCCATGCCCATGCCTATACCCATGAGGTCGTGCTCCATACTGTTCGGACCTGCTCCTTGTGTGTGCTTTTCTTGTGTACCGACGTGATCTAATGAGACCAAGTTCCGTTCGGGATTTCTTGTGGGCTTCTGCGGCGTGCCTGCTGGTCGATACCGAGGATGCTCGACAATGATACCGTCAGGCCGCTTGACCGCGCGGTACTTCTTTGTAGAGCGCCGGGGTTTGCTCTCCAGTGTCATTGTAATACTAAGGTCGGCGTTCAGAGGTAGGCTCGGGGGGATTTGCTCGTTCGGTTCGATCGATTTGGACAACGTGTGTCTTGGTTCGCGCATGTGGAAGTGAGGAGACTGGTGTGAGGCTGATTGTGTAGTGAGGGTCTGGATGTGTGGTATCTGTAGACGTAGTGATAGCTTTTTCCATGTCAGTGTACAATGCTTGTCCTTTGTATACTGGATGTCAGCGCATCGCGCAGTATACCCAACGCCATCGTCAGCGACGTAGCCATGGTCTGAACAGTCCAGATCTCTCCCATCGAGATCATAAACTCTCCACCTCCCTCATCTCACACTCTCTGGCACGACAAGCACACCGTAAGGTAGATGCCTCGCGCACAAGTGAGCCTGGTCGGCGTTATACACCCCACAACGACATCATACCAGGTCCTGCGGTTACGACGATCGCGGTCTGGACCCGTGGATGCGCCCTCTATCCGTCTGTAGCCCTATAGCATGCGAGCCCGTTAGAGCACTGCAGCTCTGTCCGATATTTTGGTATATCCAGAGCTTCGACCGACGTCATATCGAGTGCGTCGCACGGGAATCTAGACCGTCAGAGCGACAATTGCGCTGCTGAGCCCCTGTCGCGTCTCGTGGCCGTGAAGGGGTGCGCCTCAGCTCAAGCGCGTGCGGCCACACAGCCCCCTGCGCAGCATCGCGAACATGTCGTCATATGTGAAGCTGGCAGCTGGAATAGGCTTCGTGGGATTGTCTGCGCGGGTTTCGGGGGCAGGTGTCTGAAATAGCCAGAGGGTCTAGATTTTGATATCGTGGGGGGCCAGAGGGCAGAAGATGGCGAGAGGGAGGCAGGAGCGACAGAGCGAGTGGGACCGGCAATGATGTCACGGCGCGTGCGCAACAGCAGACGGGGGTGAGCAAACCATCGCTTCTTCACAACACCGACACGACGCCTGGCACTACACCACTGCAAAATAACTATGAATACCCATTTTCCATTCACTTTTGTATTCTCTCCAAACTCTCAGCTATTTGAGTCCAGCGCGGCTTGATTGAGCAAAGCCGCCCTTGCGTGTCCGCTGCCACCGCTTTTCACACACTCAAATCATCATTCCTTTTTGAATCGCCTCAACAACCCCTTCCAACAACTGCAGAGCTTGGACAATTCATATTGTAGAGAGCTCCGTGGAACTGTCGAAGACGGCGGCATCAAGGAGACCTTCGCACATAACCCAGTGCTGCCATCATCTCAGGTTCCTTCTCTAACTGATCATGTGTAGTGGCCAGACACTTCTCGATGACAGGAATGAGATCACCGGTGGTATAATGCCTTTCTGGCCGTCTCGCGTCCGCGTAAAGTTTCCTGGTCTCCAAGGCGGTAGTCAGGTTACCGCTCGGTTCCTCCCATCCTATCTCGCGGAATTTGGTAGTGCCGAAAGCGGTGGTTAGGCCAACACGCGATGCCCGCCATTTCTGAAGCGCATCCGGGAACTCCTTGTTGTTGGAGTAGGGAATGGATCTATAATGCCAGCCCATGGAGACGATGTTATACGGATACAGCAGCTGGACTTCGCGCAATCTTGGAAAGTTGACATCATCAGCTATCAGATTGTCGAGCCACTGTGTGCTTGGCCATAAATTTTCATGGCTAA